ACATTATAGGAGGCTGTTATTTAAATATTTATTATTATGCACTCATCTACTAATAATGAAATATTATAAATGATGTAAATTATTATAATTTGGCTATAGATAACATATAAATATGTGAAAATATTCGTTTTCTTAATGTGCAGCAAATTAATTATTAATTTACAAGTTTGAGATTAATTTTTTGTGTGTTTTCTGTTCATTTATTAGAATTAATAAATTAAAAGTACATTGCATATGTTTGGAAGCTTGAATATTATAGTTTAAGAAAAAATTATTTTTTACGTCTTTAATTTGCTAAATATTTTTTGTGTTAATATTTAGTTTCTAAATCCTTTCATTCCCTCCTTCTCAACTAATTTTTATTTAATAAATAAACTTTTTTATTTACTTATTCAAAACTTTCTTTTTGATGTACCTAACAAATTATTACTTAATGTAAAAACAAAATGCAAAGATAACCTAACCTGGCATAGAAATTTCGTGAATATTTTAAAAAATATTTATTATTTAATTTAGCCAAATGAAGATACGACCTTTATATGTTTTCAAGTCTCTGAAAATTAATTATTATGCATATTAAACAAAACTCTAAAAAGAACGAACGCTCGCATCAATCTGAAGCAAAGAAAGTCACGGATCGAGCCTTTGTGACCACTCGTAGCTAACCGGCAGTTACTCGAAGCCACGACGGATCGCGGAACAGACTATTCGTTTGTGGAGCTTTTTTAGAACCTTTAGAATTACTATTCTGAAATTACTTGAACTTCAGTTTTTAACAATAAAAAGCCGAATGATGTTTGGGCTAATTTTGAAATTGGTAACAGGTAGTTAGGACATTTTTGGTACGGCGATAAGGTACTAGCTAAGACTTTAGCGGTACAGGATAAAGTCAAGAGTGTGCGCAATGCATTTTTGTGCAATTCATGGAATTCTTAAAAACGCGGCAGCAGCGGCGATTCTGCCTCTCCCAATTTGCACCTATTCGTTATGTTAAGCACTTTTGGTCCAAAAGTTCTAGCAGAAGGAAGTCGGCTAGCAATCGTTGAACAAAAAATGTGAGTAAAAAAAAATCTTCACTTGAAACAAAATGGTCCAAAAAAAAGCTAGCAGTTGTGATCATAGTTGGCAATTTTTCGCCAAAAAATCGCCAAGTTACATAATCAGAAGATTAACGAATGGTAATTGACTGATTGTAACGTGGGCTGGCAGCACTTTCACGAAGGCACCTCCCCTTAGGCAGATAACCTCAGAGCATAACAAATAACCTCGATTTTTTTTGGGGGGGAATATCCGATGGGTAAATTTCTAAGTGAAAGGGAGGAAATAATTATCGCGTTTAATCCTGTATCGGTGCACACGGATTGGCGACTTTATGATGAGCAGAAAACGGACTGTACGATGATAGTAAACAGTCTTAAGAAATATATAGTTATATATATATATATTTATAAGACACATAGTAATAGTGATAGTAGATGTTCTTTGAATCATTTTTGGTGTTGGCGATAATTTTCAAAATCGCGCCAACGCTGCACCGTATACTAGGATTTTACCTAATTAACGATTTCTGTTCTGAAGAATTTTAGAAATGAGCAAAATTCAGCATCAGTTTAATGATTTCGAATAACAAACTAACTTAAGACTGGCACGTTTCTTGTAAATGCATTGGACATGTTTATTGAACTTAAAGCGGCATATATTTCTTTCTCAAACCCAGTAATGTTTCTAAGAAAATTATCGCTATTATAAACACAGCCAATTAACTAAATCAAAACAATCTCAATGAATATTGCAAACTGAAAACATTAATTAAATTTTATGGCTTCAAACTTAGATTTACAACCACATACACTGAGATTTCATATTAATTTCCATTCTGACAGCGTAATTGGACGGATTTATGTAACAGGTGTTCAAAGCTTGAGCAAAAACCTGAAGCTACATCCAGCTTGGTTTAACACTTACTGATGACTCTATGTACATTTGTTTTATCACAATGCGAGAAATATACATACATTTATGCAGATTTTTCATTATTTCATTTCTTCAAATATAATGCGGGCCTCTAACAATGGGTGGCAACAGTTTGAAAAGTGAAACGGACATTTATCGCAAAACGAAACCAATAGTCCTTCAGGGACAAAAAGCCCCTTTGGACTAAAAAATGTAATTCACAGTCGGGACTTTAATAAAGTTAGCGCAGTATGTTAATTTTTTATAATTCCTAAACAACAGATTTTTAATTAAGCGATCCATTTACGCACATATGTTTTTAAAAATTAAAAACCAATTATTGTCTTTGCATAAAGTTGTGAAATTTTTTGTCTTACATTTACATCGTACAAGATTTCTTTTCCTCTGAAAGATAATGAGCTGGAATCTAAAGAAGTCTTTTCATCTCCTGGAGAAATTTCGATGGAGAAAATGAATGCTTATGTCTGTACTTTTTATTTATGAAATGGTCCATCCAAAATTCTTAGATAATTCAAATTCTTAGACATGCCGATTATAGTTAGAAATTTCAGACGAATACGTCTCAGAATTTTGAAATCCAAAATGAATTCGGTGTATATTTATCAACATCTCTTATTTTATTAAACTTACTTGATTCATTCTTTCACAATTCGAAACTTTAAAATAATAACAATATAATACTTGTAATATATTATATAATATAATAGTACAATACAATATAATATAATGTTATAAAACAATATAATATACTGGAAACTTGAAATAATTTTAAAGTAAATAAGTTCAGTCGAAATAAATTCACGATAGTTATTATTTTTTTAAATTGTATTTTTAATAATTTTATAAATTTTTTGAAAACGTTTTTAATGTAATTAAAACGTAAGTTAACCTATAAAATTTTTACCGTTACCTTAAAGTAGATGTATTACTATGTGTACCTGCAAAAAATTAGAATTTTTTATTTAAAATTTTCAAGATATACTTGTATATGTATGTAGGCGCGATTTCAGATTTGGCATATTTGTTATGAGCGATAATAATGCCAAATGCGGTTTACGCACTAAGTTATAATTATTTGAAGGAATAAACTCAATGAAAGGGAAAGGAAAATAGTTTACCATAAATTAAAAATTTTGCCTAATGATAGTGCAGCCTGAAAAATGCACGCCAAGGTAAATTTTTAAATTTTGTGGTAAGTTTCTCACGAAATTTTACAAAATTTAATATACAGGCATAAATTTGAATCTTAAAATCGAAATATGGGGGGAGGAGAAAATCAGCACTTCATGTCAGAAAAAGTTCAACTTTGTGTCAAAATGTTTCTATTAAAATAATTACTCTATCTAGCGTATATCCCTACATCGCATATTCGAAACATGGAAAAGAAAAAAAAAAAAAAAAAAAAAATGCAAATAAATTTCGCAACGTCGTGGAACGAAAAAGATAGCCCCCCTTCTCTCTTTTTTTTTTTTTGTTGTTTTTGTGCAGTTCGTGTATGTGTTATTGTGTTACTATGTCACTTGTCGACGTAACACCATACCGCCGATAATACTATTCAAGACAAACAAAAAAATCAGCGTGATATTTACAAATATTCCAGACTTTTCGATGTTTACCAAATCCCACTGCAAAACCGCAATGAACAAATAGGAAAAAATAATAGATAAGGAAGCCTGACAAGAATAACAAGTGGCGCTTTTGGTGAAACCAGAACTAAACATAATAAAAAATAAGATAAGGAATTAGTTAGTTCTGGTTTCACACAGATGCGCCACTTGCTTATTCTGTCCAGGCTTTTTATCTTATCTAATTTTTTTCCTATCTTTCATTTCGGTTTGCGCTGAGGATGGTGGTCGGTAAAAACTAATGTGAAATTTTGTAAATATAACGCTGATTTTTGTTGTTTGTCTTCTGAATTTGTCTGACGTAGTCAGCTCTAGCCCACAAAATTCCTCGTGGCAAGGAGCGTAAGATAAGTATGCCTCTCGTTGGCACCAGCCTTGAGCACCTTACAACTGACAATGCGACTTAGCTCAGTTCCTCCTCCCCCCAAAAAATTTTGATGGAGAATGTCTTATACACTCCCACTTTTGCACTTTTAACGGCTCGCTTACATTGGGTCCTCACATTTCTATGACCATAGGCAAAGCCATAGGTGTCTCTAGGAAGCTCCGAAACTTTCTTGACGCCTTCTCACCATTGGATCTTGCTCTCAAGAAGCACATTTACACATCAATATTAAGACCTATCCTTACATATGCTTCCCCTGCATGGTGATCTGTTCTCACCTCTGTATTAAATAAATTGCAGATTTTCCAAAACAACTACTTAGGAAAAATCACAAGAGCCCCCTGGTTCGTCCGCAATGAACAGCTACACAGAGACCTTAAACTGCAAAGTCTGGCGTTACTCATCAATAAATTAAATAATAATTTTTTCAAGAAGCCACAGCAACGCGGAGAATATTCTGACATTTAAGTCAGATTCTAGAATTGACATCATTAGGCCTATGCAACCCACATTTATCGGAATCCCCCGTAAATACTCCTAACTTCTGCCAGCCAATTTTTAGTTTCAAAGTATGACTTCATTTACACTGGCCTGGGCCACATCTACACAATCTTCCTGAAGTCCCTTATCAAGGTATTCCTGCGAAGCACTGTATGTTATGTCTCCTCTAAATGGGGTTATTCGAGGTGCCTGTAATAGCGGGATATAATTCCTGCTGAAAAAGGCATATCCAAAGTATCAAAGTATCTAATCGTTTGCCTTCGTGGTGTGAATGGATAATACTTCCGGGTGGCAATCGGGAGGTTCGGTGTTCGAATCTCGGTTAGGACGCTGCGCATTTTTCATGTCTTTTGGTTTCAAAAAATTAATACCTACCTCTGCAAGCATAGCATATGAAAAAAATGCTATGTAAAATAACACTATAAAATCATTAAAAATTCTCTATCATGAAGAAAATTTAATGTAACAATTTCATGTAAATTAACATTTTTTTTAATTCTCTTCTTTCCTTTCAGATTATTGATAAAAGTAAGGTTTCTCCGCTCTTTAAAGAAAAATTTTTGAGCAGAGAGCTTTCTATCTGGCCAAATCTTCGTCATTCCCATATCATCCAATGTGATCAAATATTCCAAATAAAGAACAAGACATACATATTCATGGAACTTGCACCAGGAGGCACCGTTACAGAATATATCCAGAGGTTGGGATTTTTCAGCATTACGATATTTCTGTATGACGTAAAAAAACACTTAAAATAATTATTTGTTGAGACATTAGAAGAATTTGTCTAGCCCTGGCGAAAAAGCATATAAAAAATTAATTTCTATAGTGCATTTTTGGATGTCCCAAAAAAGATATATGGTTCGTTTTCAGTCAAAAATCAGGGAAAAAATACTTAAAAGGAATTCCTTCAGAATCTAAAAAGGGGCCACACCATTAAGTCGAAAAGTAATAGAGGATGAAATTATTTATTTTATATGAAGAAGGTTTTATCATAATTTATAAGGTATTTCTCCCACCTTCTTGGCGTGCCTTCGTGGTGTAGTGGTTCTGCACGCTAGGCCAGTATTCCAGAAGACTGTGGTTCGATTCCCGGCGAAGGCGGTTGCTAATTTTTCGTCTCTCTTTGTTTCCAAAATACCTAATGTCTCTACAGTGCCACCCGAACTAAAAGGGTGGTGGATAATGATTTCTCCCCACCCAGGATTTGGCGATTGGGTCCCCTAAAACACCCCAGTCGCCCTTTAAAAAGGGAGAGTTATAAGGTATTTCTCCCACTTCCCTACCGTGCCTTCGTGGTGTAACGGTAGCACGCTGGGCCGGTATTCCAAGGTCCGTGGTTCGATTCCCCGAAGGGTTTGCATATTTTTCATCTTTTCTGCTTCCAAAACATAATGCCTATACAAGTGGCGCCCGAACTAAAAGGGTTGTGGATGATGATTCCGCACCCGGATTGGTGACTAGGTCCCCTAAACCTAGTCGCCCTTACAAAGGGGATATATAGGTATTTCTCCCGCTTTCCTAGCGTGCTTCGTGGCGTAGTG